GGTTCAAGACCAGTTCAAGACCGGTTCAAGACCAGTTCAAGACCAGTTCAAGGTGGTTTCAGACTAAGTGAAACCCATATTGAGGTGAAATCTACATTAGGAGGTTCAAGTCTGGATGGAGCTGGTTTTAGGTGGTTTAATGCATCTATGAAGACTCTGATTGTTGGMGATTAATTTAAGACACAAAGTGAAAAACAAAAACAAATCTTTACTTTGTGTCACACATCACAACACGTGTTCACAACTCCCAGCAAGGTTTGAGCCAAAAATCTCTGTTTGCACACAAACCAAGAAAAAATAAATAAAACACAGCTTCAGAGCTCTGACATGATAAAATCTAAAACCAGAAAAGTCTGAGACAGATTTAAGACATTAAAATCATCTCAACTAATCTGAGAGAATTTTGTGTCTTTTTGTTATTTTAGTTCTTAAATTTTAGACTAACAGGACCGGACCTCGCTCCTTCATCACTGACGTCTTGAATCAGTCCCAGTTTCTGTGACACCAGGACTGGATTCTGACACCTGCAGGGACATTTCTCATGACTGAAAACACCAGGCAGGGTTGCCAGATAGGAAGTGATGAAACGCCGCTTTACAACAACCTTTCTTTTGACCCAAACGAGGGTCTGTGCTGCYCGAGGCTGCAGGTTCTCAGCCAACAGGAGTGAAAACTTCAACAGCATCGCTCAGGAAAAGGTTGAAGCTTCCTAAACAGCGACAGCACTCGCTCACATGAAGTTCAGCGGGTTCAGAGTGAGCAGAAAGCCTCATATCTGCCATTACACAAACTCCTATTTCTTTCCTCTCGCTCAACGTTTGCATATTCCTCTGGGTGTTTGAAGTCGAGCAGCTCCCTTTTTTTTTCCTCCTCTTGTCTTCCAAGCAACAAATGTCAGCTAATTACACCATGGCTGTTTGGATGAGCTCCATCCCCCCCACGCCCCCCCCCCCTCGGTGGGGCTGCAGGAGGAGTCGAGGCAGCAGTTAGCAGCAGCCAGCTGTGGGGGTTGAGCTTCAAGGATACACCCCGCTCCAAACTGATTCCCCCAGAGAGGATTCATCAATACTTCTCACAAATGATACACCACCCCGCCATCCCCCACCCCCTCCCCCACCTGCGGGGGGACATAATGCATCATTTATCACCAGAGATGAAGCAGTAACGTTACACCTGATAGAATCAGGTCTGCTAACAGGAACAAAATAAAAAAAAAGAGCGAGGCGCACGTGAAACGAGCGTTTCCCTGAGCTGCTCAACAAAAGCTCACATCTGATCTGATGACACTCGTCAGCGCCGGGCCTTCCACTGAGGGGGAGAGAAAGTGCAAGTCATTGTGTGTGTGTGTGTGTGTGTGTGTGTAAGAAAAACTGCCACCTTGGTGTATTTCTGTGTATTTGTGTGTTTGTGTGAACTGAAGCCTTGAGGATGCGGCCTCACCCCCCGAGTACGTTTCTCAAAAACAGAAGAAAGAAAGAAAACAGACTGAATTTAAAGTGAACGCTCCGGCAGTCCTTGAAGGAATCCTGTCGAGACGGTGAGAAGTCGCGTCCCTTTTGGTCCAGCGGTAAAGATGACATCATGCGCGATCTCGTCATATGGGCGAAATGTCAAACTGGGACTGTGTGTTGGGGAGGAATCTCAGCTACTACCATACRGAATTTCAGCAGAGCTGTGGTCATTTTTATGTTTGATTAGTTTTCTTAGCTGTGGCGGCCATCTTGAATGAGGCTGACTCCAAAATTTGACCAGTCTTAGACGTAAATCAAATGATTATTTTCTGAAAGTTTCATTAAAATCATGAGAAATTTTGCTAACAGACAAACATAACTGTCTCTAARAGTTACAAGACAAGTTTTACACCAAAGATATTAAGTAATGTGTTGATCTTTATGTATTTACTTGTCACTATAGTCTCAGCTACTATCACCTTCAAATCYCTCTGACTTTTGTCCATTTTTGTTTTCGCTAAGTTCGCTTAGCTGTGGCGGCCATCTTGAATGAGTRTGACACCAAAATTTGATCAGTTTTAGTCGTAAATCAAATGATTGTTTCCTGAAAGTTTAATTAAGATATGTCAAATGTTCWGTGAAATATTTTGCTAACAGACAAACGTGGCTGACTCCAACAGTTAACACACAATTTTTACAGCAAAGATATTAAGTAATGTATTGATCTTAAAGTAAGAGGTGTTAAGTATTCTCAGCTACTACCARGCCAAATTTTAGCACAATGTCTTTAAAAATCATTGAGTTGTGGCCATTTTTGTGTTTGCTATGTTTGCTTAGCTGTGGCGGCCATCTTGAAAGAGGCTGAATCCAAAATTTGATCAGTCTTACAAGTAAATCACCCGATTATTTCCTGAAAGTTTCATTAAAATCTGTCAAGTGCTTTATGGGATATTTTGCTAACAGACAAACATAACTGTCACAAATAGTTAACATAAAGGATTTAAACCAAATATATGGAATAATGTGTCAACTTTAAAGTATTTACTAGTCACTACTCTCAGCTACTACCACACCAGGTTTCAGCTCAATATTGTTAAAATTCACTGAGTTTGAGACATTTTTGTGTTTTCTAAGTTCGGCTGGCTGTGGCGGCCATCTTGAATCAAGTCAAGTCCAGAAGTTAAATCTTTGTAGAGGCTCATCTGATTATTATTRCCTGAAATTTCCATTAAGATACACTGAGTGGTTCGTAAAATATTTTACCAACAGTGGCAGCAAAGTGAAAACACGATCGCCCTTTCGCCTCGAGGCGGTAAAATAATCGACAGCAGCGAGTCGGCGAGGCCCCGGGATCCAGAGCCCGGAGCGGCGTCAGCGTCTGAGCAGACAGCAAACTCAGAGGATGTTTATTAGGCGTTTCATACAAATATTCTGATTAGAATGAGAGAAATCTAATTAATTGCTTGATTCACTGAATGAACCTCGAATTTGTAATGTAATCATAACAACTGCTTTTCAAGGGGGCTCTTGTTAAATTTAATTGGGGAAGAAGAAAGAAAAAAAAACATCCTCTTTCAGCGAATGAATGAAAATCAAATTAGGCCTAAAAACCCGAGGAGTCTGCAGGATTTTTTTATTTCTTTTTCATCCTGACACGCCGTGGTAAAATAAAAAAAAAGGAAAATAAAAAAAAGAAAGCGTTAAAAGCAGAAGTGTGAGACAATACGTGTTTCGGAAAAAAAAAAAGTCACGCTTCGGCTGTTTTGTAGCACAGAGCTGTTGGTGCAGCGAGGGGTAAAGAGAAGAGAGTACTCACTGTTAGAGATGTCTTCAGCTCTTTGACATAACTGCTGGAACACCTGCAGCAAAKACACAAACAAATACTTCAGCTCAGCTAAAATAAACACAAACTGTTTACAACACTTTTTATTCGTCCGTTCGGCTGCTGAGATGAAAACGCTCCTCACTACACTCGGCTMCTTTAGCTGTTCACACAGCCAAACGTTCGGCTCATTCAGCAGATGAGAGCTACGACTTGTTATTTACAAAGTATTTTACTTTATGTACAAARAGTTTACATCATAGAAAAACTCTGTTTCAACAAACAGATAGATAGATTTGTATTCTTTAGCTACTTTTAGCTTCTAGCTAGCCTGCTGCTACATTTCACTTTAACTACACTGTTGCTACTTTAAGGGTAACGTTTAGCTTCTAACCAACCTTTTGCCTTCTCGTCTTCTGATACCTTTAGCAGTGTTTTAGCTACTTTTAGCTTACTACTAGTTACTTTTAGTTTTAAGCTAGCACTTRGTTATATTTAGCTTTTAGATAACCTTTTGCTACMTCRARCTWCTAGCTAGTCTTTTGATTTATTAAGCTAGTTTAATATTTTTCTTACTTTTCAATTCTAGCTAATGTTTTGATATTTAGCTACATATTTMTTATATTCAGATTGTTACTAGCATTATGCTACTTTTAAATTTTTAACTAGCCTCTTGCTGCTTTTGCTTCCTTGTCTTTTATGTTTTTAGCTATCCTTTTTTAAAATTTTAGCCAATTATTTAGCTGCTTTAGCTTTCAGTTAGTCTTAAGCTACTTCAACCGTCTAACAAGTATTTTCATATATTACGTAGCTTTTTGCTTTTAGACAACCTTTTGTTACATAAATGTTTGCTTGTCTTTTCATATTTTTAGCTATGTCTTTGCTACATTCAGCTCTTAGCTAGCATTTTGCTACCTAAACTACTTTTTGGTGCTTTTAGCTGACACCATTTGGCTTTAGCCAACCATTTGCTACTTTTAGCTTCTGGCTAGTTTTTTTGACAATTTTAACTTTTAGTTAGCATTTTGTTGCTTTAACTTGGGATTTTGACACTTTTAGCTTTTAGCTAGTATTCTGATATTTTGTGCTAGCTTTTGCTCATTTTAGATTTTAGCCAGAATGTTGCTACTTTTAACATCGAGCTAATCTTTTGAGGATTTTAGCTAGCTTTCCCCAGCTTATCCATCCTTTTGCTACTTCAAGCTATTTAGCTCTAGTGTTTTATTTTTAGCTTTTAGCTAGTCTTGTGACTTAACTGCTAGTGAGTGTTTTTCTATTTTTATTTTACTCACTTRTAGCTACTGCTCTGCTTCTTAGGTAGCGCAAGATTCTAGCCCTTAGCTAGTATTCTGCTTTGTTCTGCTTTAATAGCTCAGTTTCAGCTTCTTCAGCTAAACTTTAGCTGTCATTCAGCAGCTGACGCTCACAGAGTGTCTCTGGTTTGTAGAACAGCTAAACGTTCTGCTTTAATAACCCRGACTTTAAACAAGCTTTAACTTTTTTAGCTGCTTGAATAAATCCTCCAGTTACACATTTCTAGATCTGCGTTTCTGAGAGGCATCAAAGCAGAAACGCACACAGACACACACAGACACACACCTCTCTCCCTGAGCTTTTCCTGTAAAACCTGTTTGTTAGAAATGGATCCAGACATCGGAGCTTTGAGGATCTGTTCCCTAAACACAAGACGGTTCTTGCAGAGAACCAAGCCTTAGCGGCGTTCTCACGCCCATCTCCCAGGCTTTGTCTGTGCGAGGGCCTCCTGAGCACCTTCTGAGCCTAATCTGAGCAGCTCACCAGAACAGACACCACCCTGCTTTGTGTAAACCACACACACACACACACACACACACACACACACACACACACACACACACNTGTGTGTGTGTGTGTGTGTGTGTGTGTGTGTGTGTGTGTGTGTGTGTGTGTGTGTGTGGTGTGATTGTAGGAGAATGAGGTTTAAGTGGCTGAATATGTGTGTAGGTGGGTGGGGAGGTGGTGTGTGTGTGTGTGTGTGTGTGTGTGTGTGTGTGTGTGTGTGTGTGTGGTCTGATAATCTCCAGAAAAAGAGTAACACTGTAACCTTCAGACTATGAGCGAGCAGCTGCTGAAGAACAGAAAAACAGAAGACATGAACAACGCTCTCCAACGGTTCAAACAGACATTTCACATCATCTGGTAGTGCTCAGAGTATGTGATGAGGATCACTCTCAGCTACCACCATGCCAAAATTTAGCTCAATATCRCTACAATTGTCTGCGTTAGAGCCATTTTTGTATTCGCTAAAGTTGACTAGCTGTGGTGGCTCTCRTGAATCAGGTCAACTCCAAASMTTAAAGATTTATAAATAAACAACCAATGACTGCTTACRGAGAGTTTCATTAAATTCCCTGCAGCGGCTCACGAGATATTTTGCTAACAGACAAGTAAACAGACACAGATAATTATGATAGCCAGCCTCTATCACACAAACCAATAAAAACAATGAGCTCCTAACAACGAAACCAGCACAGACAACCTAAAAGAATAAAATAAACTCTGATTCCACCTGTGAAACTAAACYGTTCGACTCGTTAATGAACCAATTAACGACCTGAACGAGTCGTCACTCAGCAGTTCCTCAGGTCGAAGGCGGAGGTGTGTTTGGATCAGATTACAGCTGTAAAGCTCTGAACGTCTAACGTTTCATAAATTACTGTTGCAACACAAACTCAGGCGCTGTGTGTCCAACATGCCAGCTATAATACAGCAAACACACACACACACACACACACACACACACACACACACACACACACACACACACACACACACACACACA